TATTATTCGATAAAAATTGTTTATAGATTTGTATCGATTTATAATAGTTTATCGATATATAGCATTATATTCTAATCGATACAAACCGATTAATTGTTATATATTGATGATTATCTATTAAAAAACTTTCCTGATGTATGCTAATAGCATGTCATCTATACCAATAGCATACTGCTGTTAGCATGCTATATATTATACAAATTTTTGTTACATCTATATCTAATTCTTTCTTTAAATAATGATAACGATAAAATGATTATGTTATCTAATTTATTTAACAAAACTTTTAAACATCTGCTTTTCTTTTATAATATAGTTAAAATAATATGCAGAAATTCTAACAACTATAATAAATAATAGAAAAATGTCTCAAAAATACAACTATACATATATATATATTTTTAGTTATAAAAAAAAATAAAATACTTGATATTGATTTAAACTTTTATGACTATCTATATATAGTGATTACAATTTTATTAAATCTCAGCTTGAGAAAAAATATCATCAATCATCCAATCCTTAGTACTAGTGGTGGGTTCTTGAAAACAAGTCTTTTGTCTTGACGTTGTCTAAATGTTTTCATATCAAAGAATTCTTCTATTACTAATTCATTCCTCATATCAATATTTACTACTTCGATATCAAATTCTAAAGTCTCTTTTTCAAGTTCTTCTTTCTTAAACAAAAGATCAATATTAGAATTCTTAATATTAGTAGCATTTGTAATATTGGTAGATAAAATTTGATCTTTTTTTTTTAATAATTCAGGTAGTTTTTAATGATGATTGTGATAAAGCATTCTAAGCATTCCCATTAAGGTAGTAGATATCCTATTTCGTGATTTTGTTTTTACTAGCCCCAAGCTAGAAAATAAGTATTTAACAGCTACTGCATGAGGAATGATTAAAAAGATCTTTATAGCAAATCGTCAAAGAAGCAAAGAGCATCTAGAAAATCATGACCAGAAGGTTCTAGGATTAATATCTTTATTTGGTGATTTGCTACTCAACTAAAGAGAGCTTATAGTATAACATAATATAGTTTATATATAAAAATTAAGGTTTTTGGAATATGAGCTGCTTCTATCTAAAACTTTTTTTTATATTAAGTTAACTATCTTTGGGCTTTTAATTAAAGTGTAGAGCTTATTAAGACAAATCTAATAGTAGTTGAATCATCAAAACTGGCCTTATAAATCACGAGATATCTTCAAAAAATATTTCATCAACTATATAAATTTTTCTTTCAACAATACTATTGTTACAGTACTATGGCCTTCTTAATAGCAGTACTATAACAATAATATGGTTACAGAGATTCTTCACAGGTTTATAGCGATATCTAACAGGTAAGTATAATTTCTACTACAACTAGAAACTATACTCTTCTGTCTGTAGCAGTTCAGACAGACAATAGTTTATAGATAAAATATGTATTTTTATTAGAGAGAATAAGATAGGCTATCTTTAGGTTCCTATTTCTAAAGAATCCTATAATATTACAAGAGAGAATTTAGAGAAAAAGGGAGTCTGGGTCTAAGAGGTAGATGATGCAGGTCTAAGATTAACTTGGGGAAATTTACATCCTTTTTATATCTTTAGAGTAGGGTTCAGAGCACGAGAAAAAAATTAGACATGCCTATATAGACATGCCTCTGAGCTAAAGCATGCCTCTCATGTCTATGGGTATGCTCTTTTTAAATCATATGATTAACATATAGTTCACAATCTTCTTAAAAATCTCGCATATTGATTTAGTATCTATGGTTCTTGTTTATCTGAACTTATTAGCCAATTAAAATAACTTTGAATATCACATGACAAGGACATTCCCTTTGAACTTGAGGCATGCCTATAGGCATGCCCTAGAGACATGCTCTTAGAAGCATACCTATACCTTTGTGCTTGAACTCTACTTTAGAGCTAATCACTAATCATTATAGCTAAGCGTAGTTTACTTAGTGCTAAGCGTAAAGTGTAATCGCTAATCATTAAGTATTAAGTGCTAGTCGTAATCACTAAGTATAATCGCTAATCGTTAATTGCTAAGCATAATCACTAATCGTTAATCACTAAATATAATCACTAATCGCTAATTACTAAGCATAATCGCTAATTGCTAATCATTAAGTATACTACATATCTGCTAAATTCTACTCTAATAATAATAACTAAATAATACTAGATAATAATAAGATAATAAAATAATAAATAATAAAATATAATATTGAAATAATAAACATAAATAATAAAATACAATATTGAAATAATAAACTAATAAAATAATAAACTGTTCTATAACACTATTGTTGAAAAAAAAGTTTATATAGTCAGTAAAACATTTTTGAAGATATCTCATAATCTACAAGGCTAATTTTAATGATTTAACTACTATTAGATTTGTCTTGACAAGCTCTACAACTTCAATTAGAAGCCCAAAGATAGTTAACTTAGTACGAAAAAAAGTTTTAAATAGAAGCAGCTCACATTTCAAAAATCTTAATTTCTATATATAAACTGTATCTCGTTATACTATGAGCTCTCTCTGGTTAAGTGGTGAATCACCAATTAATATTTTTGTAAGTATCAAAAGGGGCATCCCTATTTTTATAATTTACAAGCTCTTTGTATAAAAGAGTAGTATCCTTTTTGTCAAAGTCCCAAGTTTTTGCTAATTCTAAAGAAAACCTGATAATTAAATCTCTAGATATTTTTTTTGACATCACGATTTGCTTGTAGTATGATAACAAAAAAAGAAAAATAAAATAAATATGATTATAAGAAAATTCACAGGCTTGTTTGTCAATAGTGGCTAGCGTATAATCTTTGAATCTGTTAATTAGAATATTTGTATTTGAAATAGTATAATGAATATTAATTAATTCTTTAAATATATTAGCTAATATAATATTTCTTGATTCTAGATGACCAATAGCATCTACAATGAGAATAAGCACTATTACTAGCATGTCATTGTTAGCAAAATGATAATAGCTATTAACTATGTTTTGAATCTCTGTTTTGATTGTAGAATAACTATTAGTTCCGCTAAAATTAATATATTGTTAAAATCCTCTTTCAAAAACCTTTATACCTAAACAAACTCTCACCAAAGAGTATCATCTCATTTTACAGAATATTGTAAGTGAATGATATATATCTTCCTTTTTTTGCCAATCTTGCAGTGTTCAAAGCCAAATATGAAAAGACATGAAAAAACTGACAAGTTTTTGATTATTTTCAATAACTGAAAGTAAAGGCTAAAAAGAGGAAATATCTTTTGCAAGTAGGTTGAAGGAATGAAGACAACATCAAATAGGAATTATATTCAGATAATCTTTTGTGAGATCAGCTCTCATTTTAACTATCACTGAAGGATTATCAGTAACACATACAATGATGGATTTAACAGAGACTGAATATAATTAAAGAATTTTTTCAAATTGCTTTTTAAAAAAGATTGCAGTATAGTGATTTGCTAATAGGTCGATAATATCTAAAATATGTTTCTCTTTCTTTTTTAAAGCTATAAAACCATAAATAGAATTTCAGAATACATCTTGCTATCCATCTAAAGCAATAGTAATATCAGTAAGAGACGACATTGTTTTGAATTTTTTAGCTAAGTAAATAGAAAATGAATTATTGAGAATTTTAGTGCTTAATGTTTCTGTGGAGAGTGAGTAATAATTTGGTATAAGTTCATTAAGAAATTTAAGAAAATAGGGGTTCTTGATGATTTTAAAGGATAGATTGCCATAAATAATAGCATCAAGTAGTTTTTTGTTGATTTTAGCTTGTTTTTCTGGTGATAATGGTTTAATAACCCAACTTACCAGATTATCTTGATATTTTAACACAAATGAGGAAAGGCTATCAGCTGCATCATTTGCACTGTAAAAACTATATTAATTAAAATTTTAATATTTTATTAAGCCATTTGCAAAAACATATTTATATTGCTTTCGATCTGAGCTAGTTAAACCTTTTTTACAAGTTTTAAGCAAAGAACTGGTAGCTTTTTTAATATAGCTGCTCTTTTCAAGAACCGGCCAGTTACAATATATAAGAACATGATTGTGGAGTTTTTCAAGTCTACTAGATAGCTCAAACTTACAATAAAAACATTTGGCAGTATATCGATTTCCCGCAACTTAATCCACAGAACACCAAAACTCAGTCTAACAGTTGTCATGAGTTGTCATATTAGAAATAATGAAACCAGGTGGTAGTTGAGATTGTATAGTATTAGAGTGATTTTATATATATTTTTTTTTGTTCGTTTGTTATTTATATTAATAAAATAAAACAAAATACTAATTAAAACTTTTATAAAAGATACATTAAATATGTTTTTTTTTATTGTTTTAAATTAAATAATTATATTCAATTTAGTTAAATTTATACAATAACTTCTTTTTTTCATTTTATATATAGGATTCTAATTCTAATTTATTTTATTTTTACAAAAAGCAAACGAAAATTACTTCTAAATCGCATACATGTTGTATAGATTATCTAAGAATCTTACAATTTTTTTTTAATATGTATCTTTTTCCGTAATGAGTATTTGATAGTAAATTCTAAATTCTTTTTCTTTGTTATATAGATATTTTTAAAAATTCTTAAACAATAAATATTGCAGCAAATTTGGCAAATAATTTATATAGTTTCAATTAGAGGTTGGAACCATGAATATTCAACAGTTATAAACAGATATTTATTAAATATCTAATATCTGGTTATACAAATTCACGAATAGTCAAGAGGTTTGTAATCAATATAATTGATTCGTGAATAATCATGTGAATATTTGCATTTATGAATAATAATACGGATATCTATCCAAAATCTAGATATTTGTCCAATACTATTTGTAAATATTCAAAACCTGCAAATATTTACTAAATAGCTATGATAAATATTCAAAGAATTAGAACTCTAGTTCCAATCATTCTAAATTATCGTAAATAGCTATATAAAATACCTCTTGATAGTAGATCCCTTTATTATATTGGGTTTAAACCAGAGTTAAGAATTTAGTAAAATATAAGAGACCAGAGTTTCTTAATTAGTAATTTATATTTAACAAGAAGAAATCTATATATTATTATACTTTCCTCCAAATAATAAACCTCTGGTATAATTTAAGTTTTTTAATCGACATACCTGAGTCATCTATATGGCCATTTACGGTAACTTATTTTCTGCAATGATCATCAAGGTTTTATTAAAGTAGTTCATGTAATGTTACTATTACTTGTTATACAATTCTCTTCATTTTTCTTTGTTATATCATATTTTACTGTATATCCTTACATTTCTGTTTTATGTTGTGCTTACATGTCAAAAATATTTCAGTTTGAAACTTGAAAAAACTAGACAACAAAATAAATTTACAATCTAACGCAATAAGTAATATAATTTAATATATTGCTAAAAGACCACATAGCTAGCAGTGATTCAAAAAAAACTTTCATATGAATAATATTTTAAGAATTGCTTTATTAAGAATAAATATAATTAAACTATATAAACATGTTACACTCGCTTAAAACAGGCTAGAATCAATAATGATAATAATAATAAATGCTGTTTTGATATCTGTAAAAAACAAAATTATATTCAACATAATAAATAATCATGTGATAAGATGCCTAATCTTCACTTGTAATCATATTACAGCTAATTCTGCAGCAAATATAATATAAAGGTCTAGTAAATTGGTAAATTACTCAATAAAATATTTCTTATAAGAATAGCCAATTTTGTCTATAAAGTAGGTTAACTGTAATATCTAATTTTAAAAACTGTAATTGTTAATCTACTAAGTTAGGTAGCATGCCAGATACCCTACAATATTTATTATGTTTAAACTAAACTTATTACAAGTCACTTCTGTTATAGTGAACTCCCATTATAGTAAACCTCTTGTTATCGTGAAAGGGATTTGTATACAATTTACAATCTATAAACAGAAGCTAATTTATAGTGTTAAACCTAAACATACTACAAATTCAAATATTAAACTCAGTTTTATTACTATTAAAAAGTCTATACCTTTTTAAATTAAGCAATTTGTAATGAAAGGTTATTTAGATTTAATATCGTAAAGAAGCAGTCTAGTAAAATACTTCCAATATCTCTAATATATAAGATAATCTTGCATAATTCATTTTTCAAACAAAGTGTATCAGTTAAGATTCTGTTGTATAATATCAGCATTCTATATTTTTACATAGCAAATCCTTAACATTGTTATTAGAAAAAGTTTTACCTATCTTAGAATTTTGAAAAATTATTTTGAGATCTATAAAATTAAGATCTTATTAAGTGTAAATATAAAATTTTAAACCACTGTATTAAAGAACAAAAAACAAGACCTAATGAACAAAGTAAACCTAACGAAATAAGAACTAACAAAGCAAAACCTGATGAAGTTAGACTGACAAAGCAAGACCTGACAAAGTAAGATCTGACAAAGAAAGCAAAACTAATAAAGTAAGACCCAACAAAGCAAGACCTAACAAAGACCAATAAAGTAAGAACTGACAAAGCAAGACTCAAGAAAGCCAAACCCAACGAAGCCAAACCTGATAAGCAAGACCCAACAAAGCCAAACCTGACAAAGCAAAATAAAGCCCAAAGAAGACCCAGTAAAGTAAGACATGCACAAGAAGTGTTAGTTTTGTTTAAAGAAAAAAAATTAAATTATACAAAAAAACATCTATCATATTTTCAATTCCAGATTTTGAATCCAATGGAAAAAAGAAGAAGGAAGACCCAATAAAGCCAGACCCAATGAAGCCAAACCCGATGAAGCAAGATTCAATTAAGTAAAGCCTGAAGAAGATCCAGTGAAGTAAGACATATACAAGAAGTGTTAGTTTCATTTAAAGAAAAAAAAAATTAAACTATATAAAAAAAGTACCTATCATATTCCTAATTTCAGATTCTGAATCTAACAGAGAAAAGAAGAAGAAAGTCCCAACGAAGCCAAACCCGACAAAGCAAAGCTCAAAGATCCCAATAAAGCCAAACCCAACAAAGCAAGATCTAATAAAGTAAAAGTTTGAAGAAGACCCAGTGAAGCAAGATATGCGCAAGAAGTGTTAAAAAAAAAAATACAAAAAAACACCTACCATATTCCCAATTTCAGAAGCCAATAGAGAAAAAAAGTATTAAAAAATAAAATATTAATACTGTAGTAATCCAAACAAACATAAACGATTATCAAAATAAAGCAATTTATCAACGGCCAATAGAAACTTGGGGAAATTAGTAAATGCTATATGTGTTGGTTGATTAATGATTACTTTAATAGTACAAATAGAAAATAGTGATTGATTTTTTAATGTAATACAAAATCTATAGTACGAATAATATTTTTTATGGTGCGAATAGCAGTATCCTAAATTAATACTAGTATTAAAAAGAATTTACCGTAATTTGTGACAAATAGTACCCTCTTGTTAAAGTATCTACCTACTGTCAATTTAGTATCAATTTAGTCAAATTATATAGTTAATTGACAGTCTCAAAGAGAGTACTATTCAATTTTTAAGGCCTAGAAATATAAGAAACCGGGATACTATTTGCCACAAATTACGGTAATATAATTTGCAATTACAAAAGAGGCAAGTACTAAATATATATATAAATATATACTTGAATATATAAGCTTATTAGTAATATTTGGATTTAACATATATGAAAATACAGTTATATTATCTTTGAAATATAAGTATATAGAACAACTCTCTCTGACGATCACTCATACCAAACTTACGACTAACGAAAACAGAAACTTGTTGAAGAAAAGTAGAAAAGACAACTATACAAGTAACGGTTTTTACAAAGATCAAGGATCTTTTGGTTTTCTTCTTTTCTCCCTGGACTTTTTTGTATATTCAGCAAGCAAGTTAAAAGCATTCTTGTACAAGATAACTAGCAGGTGAAGATGCCCTTGTACAAAAAATTTTAATAGAAGCATAGCTTCTGCTGACGAAGCGAAAGATAGTTGGTCTAAAGGGGAACAACAAGTGAGTTTTCAATACACTCCTTATCGAAGTTTAAGGCTACCTGCTAACCGAAACTCTTTACAACACACCACTCTTTGCACTTCACGAAATTTCACCAAAAAGGGGAAAAATGGTGTATCCCGTTAAAGGATCAACCTAAGGATCATTACTGAAAAAAGAAAGTCATGTACAGAAGTACATGTCTGCTTTGGAATAAATAATGTATGATCAAAGTCTAAAATAGGAAGTCATGAATACGTTGCAAAAGTTTTACGAAGCTACGCAATTAAAAATTTTGAACTTGAACCTTTACTCAAGAACGGATGTTTTGATTAAGTTTTACATCCTAGATATAGACATAAATAACTAATGTAAAGATTAAATTAGTTTATTTAGTAGTACTATATAATGTTTTTAGTTTGGCATAGGCTTAATAATGCTATCTTTGTTTTCTTTTATTTTTGTTTTTGTTTCTTTGACTTGTTTGGTTTTATTTGTTTTAGGTGGATTGGGTTCGTTGTTGAGTTTATTTCCCATTTTTACTCCTTTTGATTTAGTGTTTATATTTCTTTACTAATAAGAAAAGCCAATAATAATGCTTATGGCTTGCAGTCACTAGCCGAGTATTGAAGGGAAAAAAGTCCTTAGATAGTTTCAGACCCAGATTGAGGCCAATGACTGCTAAGGCAGGCCATATTGGGCGTAAGCTTGGTGAGCCGTTTGTATAGAGATTTTATAGCTAGGAGAGAAATTCTTGTAATTTGTTGAATAGTTTTAGTCATAAATAAACAGTGCAAGTAGCTGAATTATAAAAAAATATATATATATATAAGTATATAAGATTAGAATATAATGTCTAACAATATTTATTATTAAATAAATAAGTTTTATTTAATAACTACTTTAAAGATAATACTGCTTTGTTAAACAATATAGTTATGGTACAAAAATTAACAGAAACTATAATTTTTACTAATATGATTGTAAAATAAATATATAATATGCAAATATAAAATAAAAAAATATAAATATAAATAAAAAAACATGTAATTTACAAATTTGCTATAAATCTAGCTTTTTTTATTAAGTAAAAATTTTTAACATAATAATTTAGATATATTGTTCTATTTATATTAACATGAATATTAATATTTAGTAAAAAATAACTATTAATTTTTTGTGCTATCACTATAATTATTTATTCAATACCAAACTTCTATAAATTTAATTGGTCAATTGTTTATTGAATATGTAAAATCTATATGTAATATAATTTTTATTGGCTAATTTTAATGATTATCAGAGAATTCTAAAAAGAAAATTTAAAAAATAAATTGATAATATTGATTAATAAATAAAGACAGTAAGAACATATGAAGTTTATGATTTGTTATACTGTATTTTGAAATAGAATATGGATTTAAAGTTAAAATAACAAGAAACTATAAAATATGCAGTCTAATGACAAAATGTCATATGCATATAATTTTTATATCTTAGTATAGATCAAAGTACAATTAGTTTAGTTTTTTTTTTATATTAGTTGAGTTCTATGTAAATACTATAATCATGTAGTATATATCCTGGTTAGCAGATACCAATTTGGTAGATAGGTTCTTTAGTTTTATATTTGTGCTTTAAATTTCTATTGCTAGTTTATTCATTTTCTTATTTGTTTGTTTTAAAATATCCCCCTTCTCATATTTCCTCTTATCCTACTTTGCTCTTCGTAATTTTTTTGTTAGGAAATATTTCTTCGGATTGGTGATATTTTATATAGGACAGTGATCCTGACAAGGCCGGTGGCTGTCTACTGTAAACTCCTAGGGTTTAAATCCTTAGTAAGTTAAGGATCCTGGATAAGAAAACTGGGCCACCTAGGCGGGTCGCACCTGGGTCCTCTTTGCAGAATCTATTTTTAGATTTTTGTTTTAACGACCAAGTGATTCTTTATTAGTACAGGCCTATATAGAAATGTCTTATAGTTTAGCCTCTATTTGTACGCCTATGCCGATTTAAATAATAAAGATCGCTGAATTGCAAAAAAAAAAATATAAACTATATAAAAATATTAATAAAGCTATAAAATATATAATAAAAATATAAAATATATAATCGCAATGCAATTAGTTCTAGAACAGATTGATTATCTTTTTTTAAAAACCACTAGAAAAATCTCATATCGAAGCTACTAGAGCGGTCAACCTTACACATATTTAATCGTACTCAATTATCAAGATACAGTCTTCCTCCTCTATAATCACCTCCTATATAATCACAACTCCTGTACAATCACATTAAATCTTGAGACTATTTATTAATAAACTTATAAAAAAATACTTCTATATAATCACACTCTTTTATATCACTAATTTTCTTGATACAAACTGCGTGATTATAGAGGAGGAAGACTGTATCATTTTATACGGATTTGATTCCGACAAGTAGAACGACTGTTAATCAATTTACAGGTTTTTCCTTTCCGCCACATGCATCATGTATATATGATGATACGTACAGTACGTACGTAATTTAATAAATTAATACATATTAATACATTCGTATCTGTTTATAATTAATATCTCTATTATATATATTATCTATAATATATCTATACTACTTATACTCAATATACATGCGAACCCAGGTTCTAAAATTAGAACTTGATTTTTAATGACTTTGTTTCAAAACTAGGCACCAAGGCTCTAAACCTAAGAACTTTACTATTCCTACTGCTAGTTGATAATTTTTCTAGCCCAGATCCAACGAATTCTGACCGAAATTTTGGGAATTTCGCTTAGTAGAAAAGATAAAGTATATTCTACTGCTATTGTAGATATTAAAAATATTAAAAAAACATCATAAGTCATCTAACATGTCAAGATTGTAGTTTTCCTTTCAATGTTACCTAGCCGCAAGTGCCTAATCCATTAAATAAAGGGACAAATGGCTAATGGATCTAATTCCTATGTCAAAAATACTATGTCTATATATGTTTTTGATAATGTAGAACGTTCTCCTCTCGCACAATAATATCTGCCTTGTCTGTAACTATTGTACAATCATCCAAAGGAATATATAAATATTTGTACATGTGAATTGAATCGTTAGTCCACAATTTGTTTACCCTTTTAAGAATCGATATCTGAACATCGATACAAAAAACATTAGAAAATATTCATTTGAATAGTACCTACTAAATGAAGAAATGTTCACAAACCTCTATTCCATAAGACAGGGCAATACCAGCTAAAGTATCAAAAGGTTTGATCATATGCACAATAACTTTTTTCTTTTCGGGTTCTTTTCGATCTTTTTCTCTACACATTACCTCAGTTATACTTAGATCTAATGGGCTATAGCATTTTGTTAAATCTATATCTTTATCTTGTGTTTGAACGGATTGAATCTGTTCACTATCATTTTTTCGGTTTGTAATATGTAAAATGTTACTGTTAAATTTTCTAAAGAATGTAGGTGTTATAGGTGACAATGTAATCTGATGATTAAGGGGATGTGTAGTTGCGGGAACAAGTGGAAGTTTATGTGGATTCGATAATTTTTCTAAAGATCCTATGTTGAGGGATAAAGAAGGTTTTTGAGAACTCTTTTTACATATTAGGCCGTCAGGAAATTCCTCAACTTTTAACGAAAACCAATCTTGAGTAAAAGCAAAAGAATTTGTCAAATCTTGAATAGAACTTTGCATTTCGTTAAGTTATTATACAGATCTCTAGAAACTAAATTCAATGAAAGGAATGTTGGCTGATTTAGATAGGTTATTGCAAAATTAAATTGATCATGATAAATTAAAAACATGTGCTTTCATCGAGAAACGGCGTAAACCAATTTTGCTTGTATTACTGATAGGGATGTTATCCTGTTCCAACCGGTTCACTGTTTCGAACCATATACGTTAACCGGTTATCGAACTCAGTTTATACAAATATACTAATTATGCTTGCTCAAAAGTTAATAAGTTATGTATTACCTCGAAATAGACCGGGGTAAAATCGCCACCCAAAAAAGTTTAACTAGGATACATCTATGTACCCCCCCCCGCCCAAAATGGAAATGATCGTCGTTGTTTATATGATTTCGATATGTATTTGTTTTTTTTAAAAAAAATAC